TGGTTGACGATTACTCGCGTTACACCACAGTCTTCCCCTTGCGCCGCAAGGATGAGGTCACTGAGGTGTTGATCGACTGGATCCGCGCTGCTCGTCTCCAGCTCAGGAAGAGTTTCGGCTCTGACTTTCCTGTTTTGCGTCTGCACTCCGACAGAGGTGGGGAGTTTTCCTCCGGCCCTCTGCGAGCCTTCTGTCGTGCGAGGGGCATCCGCCAGACGTTCACGCTTCCGGCCTCTCCACAGCAAAATGGGATTGCTGAGCGCCGCATTGGCATGGTCATGGACGTCGCTCGTACGTCCATGATCCATGCGGCTGCTCCCCATTTTCTGTGGCCGTTTGCGGTTCAGTACGCGGCGCGTCAGATCAACCTTCAGCCCCGGGTCTCCATGCCGGGGACCTCCCCCACTCTGCTGTGGACGGGGAAGGTTGGCGATGCGTCTGCGTTCCGTGTCTGGGGATCTCGGGCTTTTGTTCGGGACTTGTCTGCGGACAAGCTGTCCTCCCGTGCTGTTCCCTGCGTCTTCCTTGGCTTCCCCCCTGACGCGCCTGGTTGGCAGTTTTACCACCCCACCTCGCGCCGTGTTCTGTCCTCCCAGGACGTCACGTTTGACGAGTCGGTTCCGTACTACCGTCTCTTCCCCTACCGCGCTGCCCCCCTCCACCCCCCGCCGCTCTTCCTTACGCCAGGTCCCCCCCCGGTAGACCCCCTCCCCCCTCAGGGTCCTGCTCCTTCAGGTGTGTCTCAGGTAGACCCCCCCCCCTTGGCTGAGCCTTTGGAGGTCACTTCCGACACCTCTGGCCCACCCGAGGGGGGTGACGCTGCTGCTGGCGCCCCGTCGGCCTACCGCCGCGCACCACGCTTGGAGACCCCTCCGGGGTTCCCCCCGCAACCTTCTTCACCGCCTCTGCGGCCGGCTACTGTTGACTCTGGTGCTGCTGGGGGTGGTGCTCCTGGAGGTGCTGCGTCTGGGGGTGCGGAGTCTGGGGGTGCTGAGCCAGCGCGTGAGGAGACTGGGGGTCCTGCGCCTGGGGGTGCTGTGTCTGTGGGTGCTGAGCGTGTGTGTGCGGAGTCTGGGGGTGCTGAGTCTGGCGGTGAGACGCTTGAGGGTACTGGGACTGCTGGTGCGCGGCCTACTTGGAGTGGCCGCCTTCGTCCGCGTGTGCCTCTCACCACTCAGCAGCTGCACGACTGGTACGGTCGCCGTCAGCGTCGCGCTGCTGGAGCCCGGGACTCTGCTGCTCGAGGTACTGGAGCTGCTGGGGCTGGGGGTGCTGCGTCTGGGGGTGCTGCTGCGGGAGACGCTGCGGTTGGAGACCCTGGGACTGGAGGTGCTGGTTCTGGGGGTGCTGCTGCGGGAGACGCTGCGGTTGGAGACCCTGGGACTGGAGGTGCTGGTTCTGGGGGTGCTGCTGCGGGAGACGCTGCGGCTGGAGACCCTAGGACTGGAGGTGCTGGTTCTGGGGGTGCTGCTGCGGGAGACGCTGCGGTTGGAGACCCTGGGACTGCAGGTGCCGGTTCTGGGGGTGCGGCTGCTGGTGACGCTGGTTCTGGAGCTGCTGGCGCTGGAGGTACCGGTTCTGAGGCTGGAGCTTCTGGAGCTGCTGGAGGCGCTGGCGCTGCTGGAGGTGCAAGCGCTGCTGGAGCTGCCGGAGCTGGTACAGCTGCGCCGACACGACTGTTCTTCGCTCCGCCGTCTCCGTCGTCGCTGCCGCCGCCTGACTCTCTTCTTCGTCAGGTTCTTACTCTCCCGTCGTCCACTGGTCTTCCGTTACAGCCTGGCTCCCCGCTGCCTGCTCCTTCTCCTTACACTGAGCAGACAGGTAGTCTTGCTGAGCGTCGTGAGCCTGCGTCGCGTCCTGTCTCGCCTGTTCGTCCTGGTCGTACCGGTCGTCGTGTCGCTCGTGCGCGTCAGCAGACTGTCCCCAGCGCACACCTTGTCGTCCGTCGTCCTTCCTCTGCTCCGCAGCCTGCTCCTCTGCCTTCCCCACCTGCGTCCTCTCTGCCTGTCGTTCCGGACCCTGAGTCTGACCGGTTTCGTGCTGAGCACCCCACTGTCACGCGTCTGTTAGCCACTGTTGTCACTGACCCGTCGTTTGAGTCTACTGCTGCGTCTGCCTTAGTCGCTGAGCTTGTCGACTTTACTGCTGCCTGCCGTCCCGACTACACCGCTAGTCTTGTTGCTGAGTCTGAGTCTGTCTGTCCTCCGTCCGTCGGGGGTGAGTGTGCTCTTAGCACGGACGTCCTTGAGGACAGGCAGGAGGAGTTCCAGTGTCTTGCTGCTGCTTTACCTCATCTTGTGTCCTCGCTACTTGCCCCTGAGGGAGACCCGGATGCACTAGACATCCCGACTCCGCGATCTTACGCGGAGGCGATAGAGGGTCCCTACTCCTCTCAGTGGCAGGCAGCCATGGACGCAGAGATGGCTTCCTGGAAGTCCACAGGCACCTACGTTGACGAGGTTCCCCCACCTGGGGCGAACATCGTCAGTGGCATGTGGATTTTCAGGGTAAAGCGGCCGCCTGGTTCTCCGCCTGTCTTCAAGGCGCGTTACGTGGCTCGAGGCTTCAGTCAGCGGCAGGGAGTTGACTACTTTCAGACCTTCTCCCCCACTCCGAAGATGACTACTCTTCGGGTGCTGCTACACATAGCCGCTCACCGTGACTACGAGCTTCACTCTCTGGACTTCAGCACAGCCTTCTTACAGGGCAGCCTGCACGAGGAGATCTGGCTGCGCCGTCCACCTGGCTTCACTGGGACGTTTCCTCCTGGCACCCAGTGGAGCCTCCGGCGGCCAGTCTACGGTCTCCGCCAGGCGCCGCGTGAGTGGCACGACACACTGAGGACTACGCTTGCGGCTCTTGGGTTTGCTCCTTCTACTGCAGACCCGTCGCTGTTTCTACGCACCGACACCTCCTTGCCGCCGTTCTACATCCTCGTGTACGTCGACGACTTGGTCTTTGCTACAGCTGACACTGCTGGACTCGCCCACGTGAAGTCCGAGCTGCAGAAGCGACACACGTGCACAGACCTGGGTGAACTGCGCAGCTATCTTGGCTTGCAGATCACTCGGGACAGAGCACGCCGCACCATCACCTTGACTCAGTCACACATGGTGCAGCAGGTCCTTCAGCGCTTCGACTTCACGTACTCCTCGCCTCAGGCCACTCCTCTGTCTACTCGCCACTCGCTCTCAGCTCTGCCTTCGGATGAGTCCGTAGAGCCGAGTGGCCCGTACCCAGAGCTTGTTGGCTGCCTCATGTACCTGATGACTTGCATACCCTCTTAGCATCCTGGCACGCTATGTTGCTCCTGGGAGACACCGACCAGAGCACATGGCTGCAGCGAAGAGGGTTTTGCGCTACTTGTGCAGTACATCGGACATGGGGCTCGTGCTTGGAGGGCGGAGTCGAGTGGTCCTCACTGGTCACGCAGACGCGTCTTGGGTCGACGACCTGGCTACGCAGCGGTCGTCACAGGGTTACACCTTCAGCCTTGGTTCCGGCTCTGTTTCGTGGCGGTCTACTCGCTCGTCTTCTGTTCTCAGCTCCAGCTGTGAGGCTGAGATCTACGCAGGAGCCATGGCTGCACAGGAGTTACGCTGGCTGACCTACCTGCTGACTGACCTTGGAGAGCCGCCTCGTTCTCCTCCAGTTCTGTACGTAGACAACAAGGCCATGCTCGCCTTGTGTCAGGAGCACAGACTGGAGCACAGAATGAAGCACATCGCTCTTCGCTACTTCCTTGCTCGTGAGCTGCAGCAGCGTGGTCAGCTGCGCCTTGCTTACGTGGCCACTCGGGCCAACACTGCTGATATCTTCACCAAGGCTCTTCCGCCTTGCGATCATCAGCGCTTTTGTACTATGCTAGGTCTTGTGCCTACTTGGCCTCACTTGCTCACTTCTTGACCTTGCTTGTACTGTGTCTTATATATACCTGCTCTTGTTTGTTTACCTCTATATATCATCCTGCATGTGAACCGGCCTTGAGGCCTTGAACCTTTGCTCAGAATGTGTGGTGACGTTGTGATCCACCCTGAGCTTTGCTTTGGTTTGCTTTGCTTGACTGGTCTTGTGACCCCTTGTGCTGGCTATCCCCCACTTCGCCTATGGGGGTGTGTCAAAACATATGCATATTAGTATCTAGGCTATATTGGGGCTAGCCTTAGAGGGTACAAAATTTTTCTCGACACTCTAGACTTGTACCCCATCCTTGACCTAATCCAACAACAACTTCATGCCTAAGATTCTAAGAAGTTTACTCCTGCAAAAGATCCTAAGGGCTTTTCTCAGCCCAACAGCTTCGAGTCAACTCTGACTCCTCGCATTCATTCTCGATACTGCGTGCTTCACTTAGCTGTGGTTAGGAGTGCACAATAGCATTTCACTATTCGTAACAGCTCGTAGCAGAAAACTGAGCAGTGTAACTGAGTGGGATCTTCTAAGTGTTTTGTGTTTTTCCTAGTTTGCGAAACACTATAAATGGGTGTACAATTCAGTTTAGCGTTCCAAATCAACCGAGGAGCATACAAATCACCCCCGGTCTGTAGTGAGGAAGCTTCTAGCGAAGTAAGCCGAACCCCCAACTTCCGAGCCCGAAGATGTTCGTGATGTAGAGTAACCCGAGCAAGGAAGTAATCCCTCTAGTCACCATATCGCTGCCCTAATTAGTCATGACCTCTGTTCAAGCTTGAGATCCGTCACGCCTCAGATCCTTGTTTCGAAGCAGAACGATGGCTGGCACATCCCCCGCGCCCTTCCCCGTCGCCTCCTCGTCGCATGCTCTCGCACTCCATCGCCCAAATGTAGCGATGGTTGGGCGACGAGCGTATTTAGAGGGCGCGAGGCGTGAGTGCTCGTTACAAGAAGCCTCGATAGAAACGTCGCGGCGGTTTCAAAGCAGCGGAGGGCGGCAAGGGGAGACTGGTGGCGCGCGGAGCGGAATAACGCCGCTCGGGCGAGGGGAAGCTGACTTGGGGCGGAGAAGCGCGGCTTTAGGGAGAATGCGCAGTCTGCGCGGACCTGCAGCGAGGCGGGGAGGGTCAGTGCTAGTGAGCGCACGGGGGTGGTGGGGGAACGGGGCGAGGGGGGCGGCGGAAAAGCTAGTGGAGCAGGTGGGGGAAGAGGCTCTGTTGTGGGGGCGAGGTGGACGGGAACGGGGGGACGGGGAGGGAGAGAATGCGCGGAGAGGGGATGGAGGGGGCGGGGAGCAGGCGATGGCGGAAGAGGTGCTTGTGTGGGCGGTGCCGGGGCGAGCAGGTGGGGATAGGCGCGGCATGGGCGACGGGAGTGATGGAGTTGGCAGGCCGGAGGAGAGGAGACGGCAGCAGGCCAAGGCGAGCAGAGACTGGCGCAGCAGGGGGAAGAGCAGCGGGGCAGGCAGCAGTGCGCGGGGCAGCACAGGGGGAGGCACGGGGGAAGGCATAGGGGGAGGCAGCAGCGAGGAGATGCTGGTGCCATCGGCGGCAGTGCTGCTGCTGCAGGGGCTGACGGCGGAGGCGAGATGGCGGCTGGTGGACCAATGCACTCACGCCCTGGTTGAGCAGGTAGGCCCTGCTGGAGCAGGTAGGCCCTGCTGGAGCATCACCTCCTGCCATGCCTCTCTTGAAGCAGTGGGATCGCTGACCTCTGCACGTACGCCGTTTTCTTACTGCTGCCATTTCTCTGTTCATGCACCAACCCCTTGACCGCGCTTCCTCCACCCCTCACTCCTTCCCTTCCTCTTCCCCTCACTCCCTCCCCAGGCCGGTGCGATCGACAGCAAGGCTCGCCAGCTGTCACAACAGGACTGGTCCACGTATTGCACGGACGTGATTGGCCGGGCAGTGCTGACGTCAGCGAGCCAGTGGCAGCAGCAAGTAGTGGGTGGCAGCGGGCGGAGAAGAGGAGAGCGACTAGTGGGCGAGGTGGCAGCAGGGGCGAGTGGTTGGGGCCCGCAGGGTGGCGTTGGTGATGAAGTGGGGGGAAGTGCTGGCGAGCAGGAGGGGTTGAGAGGAGGCGGTAGGGAGGCAGAAGGGGTTGCAGTGGGGGAGTGGGCGGGGAGGGAGTCGTGGGTGCGAGGGGAGGCGGTGAGGGGGGCCGTGGAGGATGGCAGGTGGGCGCTCCACTGCCACCTGCTGCCCCACCTCCGATTTAACCAGCACGACGACAGCGGGTCTGACAGGTGAGGCTGTAGCACCATGTGGATCAGCTGCAGCAGCATGCGCTGCCAGCTGCTGGAGCACCTCCGATTCACCCGCCACGATGCTGCTGACAGGTGAGACGGGTGCGGTGCCTTTTTCAGAAGCAGTAGCACCGCCTTGATGAGAGTTGGTCCACAGTCTCTAAGGCTCAATCCCTCAGGCAGGCTCAAGTAAAAGGGCACATCTCATGCCAGCAGGATGTTTTGGTCCCTCCCGTCTCCTCGTTCATGGGCAAATAAAGCTGATTGCTCGCCATGGCGGACAACCGGTAGTGGAGGCGCCACACGCGGCCCTGTGAGTTAGCAGTGATGCCAGTGCCGTGCTGCCACCTCCTAAGGCGTGTCACCACCCGCAGTGTTGAGCATGCCACCACACATGTGCCACTGTTTCCATTTGCCCCTCCCGCCCGCAGCTGCATCGCTTGGGGAGCCATTGCTTGTGATGGACCCATTGCTTGTCACCTCCCCCCCTGGCTGTCGTCATACCCTCGTCTCCTACATCACCATCACCCCCTCCCCCTCCTGCCCCTTTTCGTCTCCTCTGCTCCCCCAGGCGCAAAGTGCATGTGATGTTGATGGCGGAGCCGGCACATGTCGCTCTGTCCCCTACTCCCTCCTGTCCCCTGTCGTACCCCTCCTCCCCCTGCGCCTTCCTTCCCCCTCCTGCTCCCCCGTGCCCCCCTACCCCTCTGCCGCCACTCTCCCTGCGCCCCCTGTGCTCCTGCCCCCAGCCAAATGTCACGTGTCATGCTGGTGGACATGGCGGACGTGCCACCAACACGTGCCTCTCGTTCCTACTCCCCTCCTGCACCTCTCATTCCCTCTCCACCCCCTCTTCCCCCCTCTCCCCCCCCTCTCCCCTTGCTTGCCCCCCAGTTGCATAGCGCAGGTGGTGCTGGACGACCTGGTGGTGGAGATGGCAGAGGCGGCGCTGCTAGCCGTGATAGACGCGGCCAGCACACGGGAGAGCCGCCACTGGATGGGGCTCTCCCTGCCTGCCCTTGACTCGCTTGACTCGCTTGACTTGTTGGAGGGGGGCTACAGCGGTGGCATCAGGGGGACGGGAACGGTGGGGTTGAGAGAGTCGCAAGGGGGGATTGGAGGGTGGGAGGTGGACGGGGAGGGGTTGAGTGTTGTTGGACAGGGCAGGGGAGGCAGCAGCAGCAGCAGGGGGGGAGTGAGCATGGGTGATGTGCTATCCGTGTTCCGGGAGGAGTACCGGTCCTCTCGACGATTCGACAAGTTCAGGAATGAGGTGAGCTGCTTTGCTTGTGTGACTCCGGGTCATGGCCGCATTCTCGTGACTCCGTTCGACTCCCCCACACTTTCTCCCGCAAACCCCTCTGCTCCTCTCCCTTTATCCTCCCCTGTCACCCCCTGCTTGCCTGGTAAACTTAATGTCCCCTCACGCGGTTGACTTGTTACGAGTGCTCCACGTGGCACTGCACTGGTTGGTGCCTGTATCGCAACTGCCCCACCCTCTGTTCACATACCGTGGTCCGCCCGCTTGCTCGCCGTCCACCTTGAAGTTTGCTCCCCTTTCTCCCTGCCCCACCCTCTGCCCGCCAGGTGGCGCTGCGCAAGTGGCTGCGCCGCAACATCACATCGGTGGTGGCCATCTTTGAGGACCGCTTCCTCCTCTGGGGGCTGCGCCGCTCCTCCCCGCTGCCCTTGCCTCTTGCTGCCCTTGCCTCTTGCCTCTTGTCACAGCAGCAGCAGCAGCAGCAGCAGCAGCAGCAGCAGCAGCAGCAGCAGCAGCAGCAGCAGCAGCAGCAGCAGCAGGCACATCAGCTGCCCCCCGTGTGGTTCCCCAGTGACTTCAGCAGCGCCCACAATGCCACCACAGCAAGGAGCCCTCTGGCCTGGCTGCAGGGGCTGCTGAGACGAGGCAGGCCGAGCAGTGCTGGTGCTGTGAACACTGATGATTCAGGCATGGGTGCAGCTGTGGAGGTGGCTGGGGGTGGGGTGGGTGAGGAGGAGGGGATGGGGCCAGCGAATGACACGTGGCAATGGTGGCAGAGGAAAAGGAAGCAGCGGCAGCAGGGGCAGCAGGGGAGGGTGGGTGGGCCGGTGGGTCTGGTGCGGCGCAGTGTGGTGGGCAGCAGACGAGGGGAGCTGCGACAGCTGAGAGGATGGTGAGAGCAGGGTGGCTCGGGCAGGCATGGGTGGTGGGGAGGCATGGATGGTGGGGATGCATGGATGGTGGGGAGGCATGGATGGTGGGGAGGCATGGATGGTGGGGAGGCATGGATGGTGGGGAGGCATGGATGGTGGGGAGGCATGGGTGGTGGGGAGGCATGGATGGTGGGGAGGCATGGATGGTGGGGAGGCATGGGTGGTGGGCAGGCATGGATGGTGGGGAGGCATGGGTGGTGGGCGGGCATGTTTCCATTGAGATATCTCAACAAGGCTGCTCCTGCCATGCCTTCTTGACTTCTTCCACCTTCCCTCCCACCTCCCTTATCTTCCACAGGAAGCTGCTGCTGCTGGTGGCATTGGAGCTATCGGATCTGCTGCTGCCGCTCCTAAAGGCTCCTTCATCTCTTCCTCTCCCCCCCCCCCCCCCCTCCCCGCTCCTTCTATGTTCCTCTCCTCCCTTACCTGCCACACAGGAAGCTGCTGGTGGTGGTGGCATTGGAGCTATCGGATCTGCTCATTCCGCTCTTCAAGGCGGCCATCACAGCAGCAGGCAGGGCCGTCTCCTTCCTGCTCGTGGCTCTCATCGGCCGCTCGCTGGGCCTTGTGTACCGCGGCATCATGCAGAGCTGGGGGCAGGCGCTCTAGCTGCACTGCTGGCTTGCTGAGTGCGAACGAGATGGGTACATGGTCCTTGCACGCTTACCATCTACTTTGGGGCCATGCTTTACAGCAATTGCGGGTGATCTGATATCTGAGTACTCTTCAAATGATTTTGACGGCTGCGCTGGTTGTGTTCAATATAATTTATATTCAGCTATGTGCTGTCTTTATGGAACTTATCACCCTCCTTCGCAAACTGCAGTGGTCTCAAACTGAGTCGTTTGGGGGCAGTCTCTGATATAGTCACAATACCTACCGGTAGGCTTGGTTGTGCCTAAAACGAAAGATTGCCTTCAAATAGATCAAGCACCTGCACTTTTTTTCACGGCAATAACTAAAGCAATCGCTTACACAAGAGAAGCATGGTAAGCACAACAGATGCAAATGGGGCCGATGTATCAACTGCCATCAACCTCCATGCCTCATTTATTTTCCATTGGTTGCTAATCCTGCAAAGACATTACACCTTGCACACCATTCCACCGTTCCACGCCAAGCGCATTCTAGAAAGGAGTGGACCCAAGCACATTGCCTGCCGGCGAGTAGTCGCACACCCACATGCACCCCCCATCCGCACACTGGGCAGCACCGCACCCCACGTGTGTGGTATCCCGCCACACCACCTGCGTGTAGTGCAAGCACTGCTTGCCAGCAGCACACCCCTGCGGCACGGGGCTGTATGACCAGTCCGCCTGCTCCGCCACCCACGACTGCACGGCCGCCCGGTCCTCCTCACTGCTCAGCTGCACAGGGCCCTTCCAGTACAGGTTCTGCCCAAGCCCATCCGCTCCTCCATGCTCCATCACGCATCCTCTAGAGGCAAGGTTGTTCGCCCATGCCTGTGCCGTTGCTGCCACCCCATCATCCCATGAGAGGTCCGGCACACCCACTTCCCGCCGGGCCTTGTTGTGCTCCTCCAGAATGGCTGCCACGTCCACAGCTGCTGCTGCTGCTGCTGCTGCCACCGCTGCTGCCGGTGTCACCGCCGGTGCTCGTGTCACCGCCGGTGCTCGTGTCACCGCCGGTGCTCGTGTCACCGCCGGTGCTCGTGTCACCGCCGGTGCTCGTGTCGCCGCCGGTGCTCGTGTCGCCGCCGGTGCTCGTGTCGCCGCCGGTGCTCGTGTCGCCGCCGGTGCTCGTGTCACCGCCGGTGCTCGTGTCACCGCCGGTGCTCGTGTCACCGCCGCTGTCAGTGCAGCCATCCGAGTTTAATTCGTCCAGCTGCCTGGGATTGGAGGCTCGCAGCAGCAGCTTGCGAGGCGCAGTGACGCTCTCTAACTGGCCGGTGCTGCTGATGGGTGTGATGCTAGCGGAGGTGACTCCGGCGAGAGCTGGCATGGCGAGTGCAGATGTGACTACTGCGAATACTGCAGACAGACAGGGGTCACGAGTGGAAATGGGAGGAGAGGGAATGAAAGAGGCGAAGGCGTTAAGAGAAAATGATAGAAGAGGGTAGGAGGGGAGAGGGGCAATTATTAGAAGGAAGAACAGGAGAAGAAAGTTCATAAGAACGAAGGATGGAAAAGAATTATTCAAGAAACGGAAGGAGGGGGGAGGAGGAGAGATTGAAGGAAGGAAGAGGAAGGAAGAAAGAAGAAAGGAGGGGAGATGAAAGGAGGGGAGATGACAGAAGGAAGGGGGGGTCACGGAGGGGTGAGGAAACGAGGAACGGAGAGGGAAGAAACCGGAGTGGAACGAACAGGTGAGAGGAACAGAAAGGGAGATAGGAAGGGCAGTAACAAATCTGACTATCAGCAACTTAGCACTCACTGACCAACTCTAACCACAACGGATTTGCTGACTCACTCTCTACCCTCTCTACCCAACAACAATGCTTCCGGCTTTCAGCCTATTCCAAACCGGATCCGAGAACTCACCCAGCGCGGCGCAAACGGAATTCAACATTCGGACGACGGCCATAGTCAGAGATTCCGATTCTGTCAGTCGAGGATAGGCAGGCCGTCTGTAAGCTGAGAGCTTGTGAAGAGAACTCTCACTGACTGAATTAACCTGTCAGGATGGTAAATAGAGACTGAACTCTGAGCCTGATTGGGTCAGACAAGGCTGGAATGGCAAGAGCGAGCGGGCTGGTGAAACTACGGCGAGAGATGATTTGAGGGTAAAAGGCAGCTCCATTATGTAGGTTAAGGTCGCGATTCCAGACGGAAACGGACAACCGAGACGTCGTTGCTCCGTCGGAGCCAAAGTAGGTCGCACGAGTGCGACTTCGTAGATATGAAACGTCGCAAAGCTGTTTCTAAGGGCACTCGGAAATCTCTAGCAGATGTGCTACGAGCAACCACAGGACCCGTCGGCAATGACGCCTGAAAGGCGACGCGGCGCCGCGTAGATCAGAACAAACCCGACGTCGTGCGACAATAATCTCGCGGCTTGGTGTGGAGAGAACAAAACCAACTGTGTTCTGTCTGGACGGAAATTATGATGTTGCCGAAGCGCAACCAGCAGGCACAAATAATTGCGCTGGTAGGGAAGGTGAGTGCGGCTTACTGGCGTCTCGTTTACAGTCCATGTGTGCCCAGACCGGTGCCGTAACGGTTCGGCACGGTGATTAGAATCTGCTACAAACATAATTATCTGGATACACAATTGTCCACAATGCTATTTATCCATGTCCCTTCCCTTCTGCCATTACCGGTATTCACTACAAACGAGAAAAGAAATGAATAATACAAAAAAAAATTATCCTGCAAACATAGCAGTATAAGCGCATACAAGCACAGTGCACAAGCACATGCGCTTAACGTATTGCACACTAGGAGCCAAGAGTCCTACAAAAGGAAAAAACCAAGGTCAATGAACGAGTTAGTTGATAACCTCCACGTTTGTGACGGTACTGACCGACGCGCGGGTGAGGACAGAAACTGTTCAATTTACAAGAAGCACTTGCATGGATCAAATGGTCGGTCCCATCCCGATTCCCATCCAGGGCTGATTTTATCAGGGTAATTACCCTGATTTCAGGGTGATTTCAGGCTTTCCACTTTGCAGAGACTAAGATTTCAGAATTACTAAGTTCTAAACCCTGTTCAAATCAGAGTATTAGTTTTCCTATCCCTGATTTTGAGTATAGTGTAACAAACTAGCCTGTTGGTGGACCATGACTTAATAGGGTATCGAATCTGTGGTCCCTTATTTTGACCTTATCGAGAGAAAGTTTCTCGAAAATTTCATTTCGATATCCTCTTTCGGGCCCTGTTCTGTTGCCGCACCACTTGGTGCGCCCCCCTCCTGCACAGCACCAAATTGATGCTGATTCCGAGGTTCTACCGGTATTCCTACAAGCTTCGTTTTCGAGGGCGTATTCCAGGCAGGCCCTCTGTAAGGAATTACAATTCCTTACTGTACTCGCATTTTAGCGAGTACAATCCGAACACCACGCGTCAGCCTGGTTCGGCCTACTTTTCCGCCCCGAACCACTTCCGAGTCGCCACCGCTCCAATCGCAACACTTCCCGATCCATCCTAGCCCGACCCCTTCGCCTAGCTAGGGTTCCCCTTATAAAACCTCGTCACTTTCCTTGTATCGTCATTCAGTAGTTCATTCATTCTCGTTATTCGTTTTACTGCGCACTCTGCAAGTTCATTCATAACACCTGGTATCAGAGCTACTTTCCTAGCCTACCCCGCTTTTTAGAGTGTAATACCCCTCGGGGGGGGGACGAGGAAGGATGTCTTGGGGTCCAGGAGTTGCGTAGGCCGGCCAAGAGAACTAGTTAGTTGCTCTTCGCGGCGATGTTTTTACGGGCACTCCTTGGGCACCGCCAGATCCTTAGCTCGAACGGTCGCGATCGACCGTGACCTCCCTCCCCCCGGGCAACGGACAGCTGTAGCTGTCGCGACATTGAACGTGAGTTTTTTCCGCTGCGTCGCGACGATTTCGGAGTTATTTTCGTGTGGCAGCTGGCGTTAGCGGACCTGCGTCGACGGCTGCACGAAGATTTCGGAGTCGTCGTCTTGTGCGGCAGTTGACGTGGGTCGTCGTCAACTTGCGCGCGACATTTTCGGAGTGTTGCACCTGTTGACAACGGACATGCAGCACTGTGGGCGACAATTTCGGAACTGTTGAAGAAAAAACAAGGGGCAACTGTACGGACTCGCCAGGCGCTAAAGTAATTGCGTCTGAAAAAGCTGGTGACGAGGAGAGACGCCACGAGGACTGCCCGATTTATGCGGGAGTCAACTGCCGTCCCGCCCGACCTGTTAAGTGCAGCGGCCTTTACTGCATTGGCGGGCGCGTCATCAACGTTTTTGGCAGAAGTGCATGTGGATAGACGGGAGCTTTGGACCCGCCGACACTTACGGGCTGCAACAAACAACGGAGTGGCTAAATCGCACTCAGCGGAGTGGGACGCAGGCGGCGAGGGCAATTTGGGCCGGACACTCGAAAAATCCTCGTTCGACGCTGCGTGCCTGGAGTTGTTGCCAGCTGTTCGACCATTTCGAGATCGGTTTCCCCGTCCCGGGAAGTCGTTTTCGGGGACAGCCGCAACAGCCCACGATTAAACGGTGTTCAACGTACTACCCCGCCAATTTCGGAGGTGTGTGGTACAGGCCGCCGGGACACACGAGAAGAAACTGCCCAGCGGGTAAGCGGGGGTTGAAGAACGGGGTGGGGAGCAGATTAAACGCCGGTGGAACCGATCTGCGGCCCTACTTCGCCCGAACCTCACCATCCCCACCGATTACTGGTTCCGACTCATGCAGTCGACCTTTTTCGGATGAATAACGGGGGTGAACACGTGCCTACCCTGTGCTGGTTAAAGGCACCTGGTTTGGTGCTCGTTCGACAGCTGTACGAAAATACCAAAAAATGGGAGTTCGCGGCACTGTTCTACTCCGACAAAAGCGGGCTGGGTGAACGGCACACAAAAAATTCGGGGAGCTGCGATGACAACAACGGTGCAGTTTACTGGTTTCTCCTGACCCGGACGTCTACATGAGTTGACTGCGCAGCGGCGAAGCTGAGACCCGGAACCTGCGGTATTACGTGGCGTGATAGGCTGGTGGGCTGCAAAGCGGTCGGGTGCGAGCTTTTTAAATAAAACTGCCCCGACTCCGATAGCATTTGCGCCTGCACCGTAGCCGGATTATCGCGCGGGCATCATCGACAATACCCCATCCGACAAAAGCGGACGCTGGGTGAACGGCGGGAAGCGAAATTGTCGGGGGGTGAAGACAAAAAAAAATGTTGTGGAGGGAAAGTTGTGGGTGATCCAGCAGATCACTTGAGTGAGAGGTTGAGAACGTGCACCACTCTACCGCGAATTTCGGAATCTATTCGGTAGACCTTCGAAAGGGTTTGATATTTATACATGGAGGCGCGGCGAGGGGTGCATCGCCAAGGATACCTGGGATTCGTTAAGTGGCTTCGACGGGTATGAAGATGGGTGAACATCTAAGTACCAGGGTTAACGGCGGAAACGTCGGGGCTACACGGCGGAAAATAACTTCGGGACTGCTGCCTCAACCGCGATTTTCGGGTGATTACGACACAAAAAAAATGGGTGGAATCGAGGGTGTTCAATAACACGCCTCAGGAAATTCTTCAGTATACGTGGGAGCAGCCGGAAGCTTCAGAAAATTCCTGCCAACGACGAGCAATCTGCCACGTCTGCAAAGCGCTGGCGGGAGAATCGTGGTTTTCAGTTAAACAACATTGGCAGGAGCAGTTCGACGACAAGGTCGTAGGCGTTGAGGCGCGCTAGGCTCCGTGAACGACGGTCTCGGAATAACCCAGGGCAAGTCCCCGGTTCCCGATTATACCCGCATGCTGGGTTCGGGTGAACTGACGGAAACTACTGGTGACTGAGTGGGCGGCTATACTACGACCGAAAATTTCGGAGGAGAACTACACCTGCCGCCGAGAATTTACGGGGGTTTCGACAACGACATTTGCGGAGTTTTACGGACGAACTTACCGGTTACGGCGGGATTTCGCGGGATTTCTTGGCTTTTGGTTACACGCGCGCGACAACAACGTGAGACAACATCGCGGGAACTACACAGAGTTTTTCAGGGGTACGAGCGACTTACGACGAACTTTAGGTGGCAGCAGCAACAGTGGAAGGGGGGAGAGACAGCTGTAATTTTTTCATCTCTGCCCAGGAGTCACCGGCGCATTACGACAAAGCGTTCGGCGAGTCTGGACAAACCCGCCGGGAGTGATGACGTCATTTGACAAGAACACCGCATTCGGCAAATTCGACTGGAGGGATTTTCGATACGGTTACTACTTCGAAGACCATCGCCAACTCTCGTCTTCAACTTCGCGACCAATCGCCTTCACCACCGAATTTTCGTATCATCCCCGATTTTACT